CGGCTGCCCACACAGCCCCTGCGCCCCGAAACCGCCTCGGAAATCCAGGCGGGAAGCGGGCGCAAAGGTGAAAGGCGGGAGCGCTACCATATGCATAAATATTTGCGTTTCAGGCAGTGACTAATGAAGACTTAAGAACACTTATGCAAACTTCATGCAAATTGCCATCAGACTTGAAAGCTTATTTAAAATGTTTCAATCAGGATCCTGACAAAGAGCCAGTCGGCAAAATGGAGACCTCCCACAAATCAAACGTGAAACCGGAATGGCTTTTTGATAAGTGAGCTCTACCACAAGGCCCAGAACAAAACCGGTTTTAGAAGTACAGTTCTCTGCGGTTGTAATGCTGCCAAGACCAGTAACGTACAAGAAAATACAATAACTGAATTTTAGTGTACCAATAAAACAAAGACATACGCTGAGTGAATCGCCTTCCCCTGAACAGAAGGCAATATTCCACTTGTAGATGGTGCCGTCAGTGTCGAGTAAGGTGTCCGAAACCAGTAAGATTTGCAACACATCAGAAGTAAAGAAAGGACTTTATAAATATTTTATTCACTAGCAACACCGGGATCATAAACAAACAAACTACAACAAAACAGTAAAAGTGCAGCTGCAACCTGTATCTCTGTTACGTGCTACTGAAGAGACGGACTGGCTCTAAATGAATAACTTTGCTTCGAAAGGCAGGCTACCGTTCCTCTTAATAAAAAGCAACCCAAGACTCTGCGATTTCTGTCACCTAAGCACGACAGTGCCACGGCAAGTGACCACGTGCACGCCTGGATGCCCGGTTAAACCACAAACCACACACTGCATCTCATTTCTGTAAAATCCGTTGTGTCTCCACAATTCCACTCTAACCTCAGCCCACAGTTCCCTCACGCTAATGCACTTCCTTTCAAGGTAAGCTACCTTAGTGCAACCTTGCGTTTTCTACGCGTGTCCTTGCATCCAGGAAAGCACAGGAAGAGGACACGGTGTGTGCCCTACTGTCCCCCGATAGTTTCAGAGAGCAGAGGATGAACGAAACATCTTAAAATCAGCGAGTCGATATTCCGAAATGCCACCACCAGCACATCAACACCCTCCAAGCCTAGCGAGCAGAAAAGACAGGCCATTACTGTGACTTTCACTGTAGAGTTTCAGGTGTTCACAGCTCCCTGCAGCAAGCACAAATTGAGTCTTCACCACCACGGTAATTTAGAAACACACAAGCAAACAGTCTTCTCCTTGTTTGGTATATTAGGACAGACTTAGCAAAAGCTTGCTAGGTTTTATGGAGATCAAAGTCATGGAAGGCATGACTTTTAGGATTAAAAATATGTAATTAGAATATCATGAAAATTAATGTTATTGGGATGTAGTACTCTTCGGGAAACTTTTTTAAGACTGTATTTTTCTGCATTATATGTTCTAGGCCACTGTTTTTTGCAGTAGCAAATGCAAACATGATGGGAAGACTGACTAAGCATCAGTTTGAAGTCTGCAAAATCTGCTACCTTCCACAGAAAATTTTTGCGTGTACACTTCACAGTCCTGAGTCTCATATTCTTTCTCAGTCCTTCAGTCTATTATCTAGTTGCTTATCGGTGAATCATTATTTCAGTAGCACGGCTACTTGATTCAGGCTTTGTTGGTTGGTCTTCACAAGTTTAGCCCACATACTTGGCTTGATGCAAGGACTTAATTTCTTGTTACTCATCCTCACACAACTTTTCCTCTCTCAATGTTTCCACTCACCCAGCAGGAAGAAAATCTGAAGTGATCCTAAATTCATATTAACTGGGGAGTATACATAGATTGCTAACCATTCCATGGTCCACTCTCCTAAAATCTTCTGGAAAGCACAGGTTTTGTTACCATAGAGTAGTTGCCAGAGCAATCCTAAGCACAAAAATACAGCTTATGTGAACAGGAGGAGGAGAAAATAGAAAAAAAACCAAACCAAAAACAAAACGCAGCCCCCAAACCCCTCACAAAACCAACTAAACAAGAAAAAGACTCTTCTGTCCTATGATAAAATTGTCTCAAGCTAGACTTACTTTTAAAATCACCGTTCACTCCATTTCTCCATTTCCGGATGCATCTATTGAAATGCTGTGGGGTATGTTCTGTTCAAAATAGTAAAGGACTTTTAAGTTGAATGAATTCCAGAAGCTAGGAAGCCAAGAGACAGTATGGCAAAGTTAGCGGGTAGCATCCTGAAGTTACAGTATTAAGCTTTCAACTAAAACACTAGAATAATCTTAGTGGAAAAAAAAATACTGTTCAAATGTTATTTAAAGAAAAAAACAGCCTATGCTGCTTGCTTTGTTACTGCCCATCAATCTTTTCTGATGTGACATCATTATATGCAAAAAGTAACAGTTCTTAGGAAATATACTGGTTGCTACTGGAGAAGAAGTTGTCACAAGACCACTCCTGGCAACCTTATTTTAAGTCACCTAAGACAGCAAAACTGAGAAACCCATTTTTGAGTGACAGGTCAGCCTCCAGAGGACAGAGCTACGGTTCTTTGGGTCTCCAGGAGAGGCAAACCACCACAGCCTTCACACAGCTCACACAGAACCCACAGCCCAGAAGGCAAGAAACAAGAGGGTCTCAGAGCCCGCTGCAGAGGGGTGTCTGTGGCCCCGCTGACAGCCAGTGGGGTGGCCAATGTGCTCCATCCAGTGGTACCAGCCACGCCAGCCACGCTTACCTCGCTGCCTCTGCGGGGGCCTTGCTGCCGCCCTGAGCCTCCAAACCAGGGCTCACGAGAGGGCTGCTGGAAAGCTGGCGTCAGCTGTCTGCTGCAGGTAACGCTTTCAAAGCTGTCTCATTCTCCGTCAGGACTGTGGAACTGAAATAGAGATCTCACAAGATTATCAGGCAGCTTCCTCTAAAATCGCAGTGCTTTTGCCTCACCTCAGTGTGAGCGTTCCTGGCTTACTGCGCATTATTTACATGGAGACACCATGTCACAGATGTGAAACTAAACCTAATGGACATCAAATATACCTACCTTTAATAATACTATTATAGTCCTTCTGTGGATTCTAAGTTTTGGCTAAAAAGGAAGACAACAATGAGAATGACTTATTTTGAAGCACTGATTACCTTTTACATTAATTCAGCTCATGCAAATTATTATTCCTTATCTTAGAAAACACATTTAACTTCCCATTAAAATATTTTGTCTAAAACGTATTTGAAATGTTGCACATAAAGAATGCAAAATGTTCTGCTTATGTAGCATATTTCTGTGTACTTACCACTCGTGTATTTAAGTACAAATACTCTTAGCTGAATGCACTGATACATTTTGAAAGCGATGTTATTGACAACGAAAAGCATTAGAACCTGACGAAATCTTCTAATTTGTGCGATAATTATTACCTCTCAACTTACAACTGTGCAACTTATTACCTCTTCAAATATTAAGTGCACTATCAAAGCAGTTTATATGTATACAGGTATACACAACTTCGTGCCAATCTTTCAATATATTCTAAATTTGATCACACTAAAGTTGTAAAAATATGCAAAGAGTCCACCTATAAGGTCCCTTATTTTGTACATTTCAGCAATGTAAATGAGACTTGCAGCCACTAGACATTTATGACTACCCTTGCTTCCAAAAAATTATACAGTTGTGACAATATGGGAAACATGTTGATGCTGTGCATTAGTTTTATTCTGCACATACATATCATCTTGAGCAAATAAAAAGGTAGTATAAATTACTGAAAAAACCTACTGCAGTAAATAATTACAGAGCATATTAATAAGCAAAACTGTATGAAACTTATTTTAGTACTTTGGTCACATATTGGTAAAATTCATTTTAAAAGCAGAAACAAAACTGATACATGTTTCCACACACACAACATGCATAACACACATTTCACATGTAAGTATCAATGTCTTCCACCTGTTTCTCAAATTTTATTTCCACAGCACTATTTAGCTTTATTTTTAATAAAGACTTCAATCAATTTATTTTAGATTAGTGTTAAAATAGAAGGGTAATAAATTTCTAGAATCTGAAGCTGTAAAAACATAAGCCTGCAAATTTAGAGCCTTTAAGTGGTAACATAGCTGAAGATAGTAAGATTGAGATTGCACAAGTAGACAAAGTTTGTATGCAAACTCCCGTCCATCCACTTAAAAATGTGTGTGTTTGAAGTGAAAATGACTAAATCCTGAGAATAATCAAACTGAACCATGTTAAACTACTGGAATACAACAAAAGTATTCTCACGCTGACAGTCAAATACAAATTGTTTCATCCTTGCACTAAGCTAGCAAACTTGGAATATTCCTCTCCACCTGTTCCAAACTCAATACTCTTAAGACTGACTTCCACCCCCCGCCCCAAGCATACTCTTTAAAAATCTTAGCTAATAACTTGATTTCGATTAATACAGTAGGTGTTTATTTGTGTAACTCCTTGTTGTAAGGGGTACATGGTAAAAAAGTTTTAATGTCAGAATGCAGAATATATACATTGCATTGTTTTAACATGTACTAACATCTTTCGGAAAAACCATATTATGGAAGCCTGAGAGCGTAATAGAAAATTATCAAGTAATGGTTCTTCAAAAAACCTTTGAATGCGGGTTTCCTCCTTGCTGTAATGAAGTGGCATGATGGTACCTTTACACAATATACCAATGGCTGCCTCCAATGTAAGAGGAAGAACAGCACATACAGAACATTTTAAAATAAATACATCCAGTTGTAACGCTTGTTGTTTATCACTTGTATGTGATTTTTTTAATGCAAAATTAACACATTACATGGAAATATTATATAAGTCTTTAAAAATCTAGAGTTGCTTTTGTTTTCACGATGGTATTTTAGTATTATCAAGATTAAAAAGTGCTGGAGCTTATATGCATACTGGTCCATTCAGTTTTCCATCAGAATTGATGACTGAATTAGTGCAAAACTTTCACAATGTGCAATTTTCCTGTATAATGTAGTAGACAATACAATATTCAGCTGTATTTTTCCAACCGCATTTTCTACCTATGCCAAACTCGGTTAACAAAACAAAGAAATCAACACGTTAAGAAAACTTTCAGACAATTCAAGTGGCCTAATTTTGTATAAAATGTATTTATCTTAAACTTCCCTTTCTACCTTCCTCCCCCTTCAGATTGCCAAAAATACAAAAAATGAATCTGGTAATGTAATCCCTAGTAAAAGGTATTGCTACTGTAAGAGAAACCTAAGAGTCAAACGTACTCTTATGCATGTGACTATCAGCTTTCTAATGCTTTCTAGGTATCATGTTATTGGTAGTAGGTCTGCGTGTCCACTCAAACTTTAAAATAATTATACAAAAAGTTAGAAAAATATACTCAATATTTGTTGCATAACTTTCCTATATTCACTCTATCATACATTAATCTTACAAAATGCTTTAGAACCATTTATTAGCTGCAAAAACACCAACTGCTGCGCAGCACCTGGAGCAAGGTCTTGGTGAGAACATACAGTCCAGTATTATGTGATCTTGAAAGTATTTTTCTTCAGGTTTACAGCTATGTATTTTCACAAGTCAACCCAATAAATATTCACTACCATGTTCATATAAGCCTCCATGGACACGTAAGACTTTTCTTGATTTCATGCTAAATCCTGAAGAAGAGCTGGTGATGTGAAAAAGTAAATGACAAAGTCTGATTAACTAAGATAGAATGAACTCCATGTTTAATTGTCACCAAGTTATTTGCAACAAGCTGAGAGACTGTCATTTAAAAAATTTTCCTTCAAGAGCAAAACCAGTTTCTGATATAATTTTTTATAATATTTTTTAAAAGCCGTTTGTGATCCTGTTAAGCAATGACATCATGGGTATCACTGTTGGGTCTTTGGCGTATAGTCAGCGGGGGCAGAGGCTTTCCATAGACATCTGCATAAGAAATGCCAGAAAAGAAAAACACATTAATCTGTTATTTAGCATCTCCCTTGCTTAAAGGCTATTTAAATAAGGTAAATTCTTGCTTCCTTAATGAAAGCTAGGTAGCTTACAGGTTTTGAGCTAATTCCTACAAGCAACTTTCAGACATAGTGCTAATTAAATGTCTGGGGGTGTATTAGCCAAAACAGGGTTTAATTACATTTTGTTATACATGCATCAGCATTTCCAAGATCAAGCCCAAAGGTAATCTGTAAACATCCCTAAAAATAGGAAATGAGACATCCAAAGTGTACAAATAACAACTGAAAAAATGAAGTATCAAAATTTGAATGTTGCTGTAGCCAACTCTGCATTGCAATAAAGTTTTAAGTGACAGTAATGCTATGCAGCATCCAAAATTTTGGGACCATTTATGCATTGCACCTATCTTGAAAGCCATACTAAAATAACTATATTAAGAATTTTTACATAGAAGTGCAACATCTCCTTTTGTCAATAAAGGAGTTTAAAGTGGTAACATTTTTCAAGACAAAGTTATTAGGTACACCAGAAGAGAATAACCAGTATTTTCAAACATTTGTAATTGACATAAAAGAAAAAAAACGTGCAGACTGGTACATGCAAAGCATTTCACAAGCAAAATAATATCATGAAAGATGGTAAGAGGAAACAGGTAGAATTCAAGAAAAAATAAAAGCAGCTTTTTGACGTATTCAAATCTCAATTTCATTTATACAGACAATCTCCTCCCCAACAAATCCTTGATGACCTGCGAATGCAAAATTCAGCTTTAATAAATCATAATTTTCCAAGAAAAGTACATTCTATTTGTCCTACATATGCAATAACTTGAGTTAAATTTGCACTCTTGAGCTAAAATTAACAAAAGCAAGCTAGTTGGACTACATTACTCTAGGAATATGTGTACATGTCTGTAGGATCAAGGTTTTAGTTATCCTTACATTTAATCAGAAAAATAATAACACTTTTACATTATTGTTGTAAATATTTTGATTTTAATAGAGCTAATTCAGTGTTACAATAGCATGTGAAAAGCAACAGAACTGCAACAAATGACTGTAGGGTAAATGAAAACCTGTACAATGGATGTTTTTATTAGTCAGTTTCTTGAGGTCTGCCAATCAACTTTAGGACTGGCAGGCAATTTCACCTCCTATAATGAGAGAGGTTTATCATTCTTGCAAATGTATCCTCCAGGGACAATAAATAGACACTCATTACCTAGTGTTGTGCTAGAATCATTAGCAAGACTGGAAAAATTGCAGTCTTTAGTGAAAATAAGTGTATAATTAAAGATTTATATAATTTACTCTACTGCCTGTTAACTCTGCCTAAACATCCAACATAATATTCTCTGCTAAAAATGACACAAAAATTACCTAATATATACTCAATAGCCTGCTCACTAGCACTTCAGTTTTTCAGTTTGCACATTAAACCATGAAGACAGATTTATGTGTCTGAGAACACCTAGCATTAAAAACCAGACCTTTGGAGGTTGTTTCAACCTCACACTATACTGATTTTATGTATTTCATAAGCAAGGTCTATGATGTATCTGTGACACTTGAGCAGCAAGGTCTACCATATATCTGTGACACTTTCAAAAAAATTCATTTTTAAGACAAAAACAAAGGAATAACTGCTATCCTAACTGACAAAGGCCTGTACTAGAATGCATGGGAATATGGAGAGACACCTGCTCCTCTGGTTTTCCATGGATTAGCATAAATCAACACTACAAAAAATCGTATCTGTTCTGAAGCTTAAGGGGGTTTCTTGACTTACATTGAGGAGCTATCAAATGTTTCATAGATAAACTCTTGGACACAGACTTTGAGAGTACTCCTGAAAATAACCTCTACCCATAACCAAATTTCCTTAAACTTCGAAAAGCATACTATTAAAAACTTTTTTCTTTCCTTGCTCTTATGGACACTAACAATTATACCTGGAGTCCTGACAAAAGCATCTACTGGGCATCCTACTGGAACTGAGGTTTTACAGCCTGGTCTACATGAAGGTAGGTGCTCCTTTGCCCTATATAGAAAGGCTTTTCAGCCACTTGGCCAGTAACAGTTTGTCAAAGCAAATTGTTCGACAGAATACGATATTGCTATAGAAAACAGTGCACTTCAGAGAATCCCAAAAACCCACAGAAAAGAAAACCTTACTCAAGTCCCAGGTAGCAGAATTAAAAAAAATAAAAATATCCAAACTTCAGGCTCTGACTGCAAATTGTGCCTTCAAGCCATTTATATCAATTAATCATGAAACCACTAAGGAAACCAGGGCTTTTTATTTCACAAAGGTTGAATGCCTGAAAAACTTAAAACCACCTTGACAGTAAATTTTGCGTAAAGCTGGGGAAAAGGAAAAAAAAAATAAAACCTGATTTATTTCTCTGCTGAAGGGACAACAAAAAAGAAGTTGGTTTTCAGAAAGATGCAGTTCAGGCAATATTCTAAAAAATGGATCAAAGGTAGGCTCCACTGGTCTTAGGGAAACTTGAATGAGTTTCCAAGCAAAAGCAGGTTCTCTGTCTGCAAAATATGTAAAAACTCATTGAAAAACACTGTTGCGTGACAGAAAACAGGCAAGCTAAAATCAGTGCAAGATGGACTTGGCAGTGTTAGGTTAACAGTTAAACTCAATGATCTTAACGGTCCTTTCCAACCCAAATGTAAGAAAAATGAAGAAATTATCATCTAAAACTGAAAAAGATGCAATATGACCATATGAAAAACAATCTTCCACTGTCTTCCAAAAATAGAAAATTGCAGTCATTATTGAAGAGAGAAATCAAGAATCTGTCTACTACACCTTGACATTTCCACTTATTAAACTTCTTTCTCCTATCAGTCTGTGAATATTCAGGGACACTGGCTCTTCAGGCAAAACAGCAGATCCCAAGCTTCATCACTGACACCTCTCCTTGCAGACCAATAACCTACTTTTCACTTGGAAGTCTCACTACTTCTGCAATCAAATTTATGTTAGGCTTTTCATCACAGCTGGGATTGCAGTCCCTCATTTGGACCTGCTAACATTCTGCACTTAATTCAGATGTGCCCACATGTCTTTAGCTTTCCTTCTCTTGAGAAAACACTTCTAAATCAATCACAAAAATCTTACAAACCATGCTTTTGAAACCATATGGAAAGAGTAGTAATGGGTGCAAGATGTTTTAGAGTATCTCAACAGGCAACACAAGGAGTCAGCATACCCACAGCAAATTCATCTGGATGGGGGCTATGGTCCCCAGAACTACACTGGGCCCATTTGGGTTCAGTACTGTGAAGAGATCAGCACTTCCAGATCAGATCATAACATTTTCTCCCATAATATCCTCCTAGGGAAGCTCAGAACTATGGGCTGGATGAGTGGTCGGTGAAGTGGATTGAGAACTGGCTGAATGGCAGAACTCAGAGGGTTGTCATCAGCGGTGCTGAGTCTAGTTGGAGGCTGGTAACTAGTGGTGTCCCCCAGGGGTATGTACTGGGCCCAGCCTTGTTTAACTTCTTCATCAACGACCTGGATGAAGAGTTAGAATGTACCCTCAGCAAGTTTGCTGATGACACCAAACTGGGAGGTGTGGTAGACACACCGGAAGGCTGTGCTGCCATTCAGC